TATGACATTAAAAAATAACACGAAAAAATGTTTTGATGGTATGATAGCTTCTTTTCGCGCTCTATTTAGGGGTGTAATAACCTTCGAGGGTGAGAGAGAAGGGGCTAGATAATTCGACAATTTAATTGCACGGGTAATTTACATGTTGCGGGAAACGAAGGCTGGGTAGTAATTGAGTTTTGAATTTCCAAAAAAAAACGCGATTCGACGAATTGCCGATTTGTTAATTTGCTCGAATCCTATCGTGATTTCTCATAAATGAAAAACAAACAAAAACAAGTTTGCGCGAATGTGATTGATCGATTTTTATTATGGAGTTTGCTTATTAGTTCGGCGCAATTGACTCACGTTCCTTCATTGTGTTTTGTTATGAAACCCTCCCTGAAAACAACAGTAAATTATTTACGATAAATAAGTGTTATTTTTGAGCGGATCACATAGATTAATTCGAACACACCGAGTGCAATTGCCCGGCGCCGCTTTTTTTCCTGCTATTACCTAAATATGGAGCGCAGGAACAGGTTTCGATAATGACCTAAACGTATTTGCTTTTATTATTATTAAACAGCCCGTTTGACGTCCGTTCGGGATATTTATGCGTTTTAATCAGTGGAGGTCCGGCGAAAAGGGAAATCGCAATCGAGCGCAATAATTCATCTAATTTTAGGAGCAACTATCGCCCATCGGGAGGCCCTTTTTCTCCTCTCGCTATTATGACAGCGTTGCCGAGCAGATAAGAAATTAGCGCAGAATTCTCGACCAAAAAATATTCGAATATAATGGTCTAGAAAGTAGATTTAGTCGATTTATCAAATAATTTTAAAAGATTTTAAATGCATCCCACTAAATTGGTCGATTTTTCAGATAAAAAATGCTAAATATAGTCTTAAAGTTTAAGAAAATGTCCAAATAATCCTGAATTCGTTCTAAAAAGATTTGTACAATTTTAAATTGTTCTGGACATTTCTAGTTTATTCTGAATAGTCCTCTAAATCTGTTCTAAAAAGTTTTGGACAATCCTAATTTTTTTGGAGTTTTCTAATTTATCCTTGACCGTTTCAAATAGTCCTGAAACTGTTCTAATAAGTTTTGAACAGTCCTAAATGGTCTTGGGCTTTCCAAATTTATCCTCGAACATATCAAATAGTCCTGAACCTGTTCTAAAAAGTTTTTGATAATCCTAAATGGTTCTGGACTTTACTCGTTTAGACCGTTTCAAATAGTCCCGAATCTGTTCTAAAAAGTTTTTAGAACAGAAGTCCTAACTGGATTTTGCTAGTTAATCCTGGATCGTTCCAAATAGTTCTGAATCTGTTCCAAGTGATTTTTTAAAAGTTCAAAAAGTTCTAAGATCGTCATAAACTGTTGAAGTGGTCCTACTTAATTTTAAAAGGGTTCTAATTCTGGGACGATTTAGAATCGAGTTGGCGCATGCGTGAAGCATAGAATTTTTGAGTAATTTCAATGTTTACTTCATAATTACTCTTTGAAACTGTAGTATCTCATATTCTTATTTCTTCCAATTCTTCCTGTAGTAAAAGAATAAACTATCGAAACAAATTTCCTGAAAACCGCGACAATTTCTCGGCAACGCCGCAATTTGTGCGTGTGTACCTTTTCCGCGGACAGGCTCAAATTTCATTAACCGTTTATGTAGTAGCGGTTGAATAAATTTGTTCCGCCGACCGGCCGGCCCTTGTTGCCCGGTATATTGGGCTACACGGGGCGATTAATCAAAGGATATATTGTTGCTCCTATTTCGAATTATGTAAGTTCTGCGTTCGTTAGAGGCTTAATTTCCGTTGTTAAATTAAAACAAGATATTTACGGTACATATACCCCACGGGCCGATAAAATTACACACGAATAGTCGCTTTATTGATAGAGTTTTGCACAGGGGGTTGGTTCTGTTTTGGATTAAATTCGGCAAGTTTTTTTTTATACATTGGTTTTTTAAGAACTTATTTAGAAAGGATGAATCGTGAGGATTTGTACAAACCTTAATAATGTATAGACCCACTTTAAAAGTTGCATCCGTGTCATTCTTTAAGGAAATACAGGGAGGTTTATGAATATTTAAGAAATTATCTTCCGCATATACAGCTCCTCATAACTCACCCTGTATAGCAAGAGCTTTACTTTCGATAGTAAATAAATAATGTAAATAGGAAAAACTCAAACAAAACGGACGATGCATCGTGCAATTTGGCGCAAACTTGCTCGACAGACGTTGAATTTCAATTCAGCACCAGCCCGAAAAGAACTCGAATTTTTCGAATACCGCACCCCGCGGCCCTTCCGGCCGGGGGGCGGGTGTTTCTGTATTTAATTAAACTTTCATACGGCGCTCGGCGTTTAGAAACAACACGAAAACACGTACACAAACTCAAAAATGTCGCAACCGGGGGTAGCGTTTTTGTGTACCCTTCGTCGGGGGGGAATCCGCGCGATTTCGCCGAGGGCAGATTAAAAATCCATCGTCGAGTCGTGTAAACGGCGCGTTTTTCTCCGGCGTCCCTTAAGATTTATTACTTACAACGTTGTTACACGGCGACGATGCGGCCGCGACAATGAAGGAGTGAGTTGATTGATGAATTTTTTACAGGGCGATTTTGGGCTGAAAGCGGAATGTAAACACTAAATTCTTTTGGTGTGATTTTGGATGTATAAGCCTCGGTAAGCGTGATGGGGGTTTTGAAAATTGTAAGAAATTGAGCAATTAGAATAATGAGGTTAAATGAGGAAAATTTTGAGCTATTGGTGGGACTTAAACTGGCGCAAACAAATTTTATATATTCTTTATGTTTTTGAGTCATTTGGAGGTAGCAAAATACTCTAAAACCATCTTCAGATACTTGTTAAATGTTAAAAAATTCTTTAAAAATCAACTAATTTTTTATAATAATCCAAAAATTGGTCAAATTTACCGATAAAAATCTTGTAAAATGAACTAAAAAATGACCAATTTAGTTAATTATTCTAAAAATTCATCAAATTTATTAAATAAATCAGTAAAATATTGTAAAAATCCATTAAATTTATCTCGGCTCTTAAAAATAATATAAGAATTCGTCGAATTTACCAAACAAATTTAATACCTACAATGCATCTAAAAAAAAGTATCTAAAAAATCGATTAATTAAAAAATACTCCAAAATAATTCAAATTCACATGTAAAATCATGTGATAAAAAGTCTATTTTAGCAAAATTTCAAAAATTGTCAAAATATTTCGAAATATTTCAAAAATATCTGTTCAAGAATTTGTGCACTTCAGTTAATCTCTTTATTATTTTCAAGATTTTGTTCATCCTTATAAGTTATATACTAAACACAGTTTAGATACTATACTTTTTATTGAATGTATGGAAAACTTATAAGAAGTTTAAGGGAACTAATGCCATTAAAAATTGTAATAAAACTTTCTTCCTATACATACACCTTTACTAACCCGATGCAAAATATTCCTGCAGCACCATTCAAACAGAATTAATACAAAACCGAATTATGTACCTTTACAACAACCAATATCCCAGCTAATCAATTCGGCCGAACTAAACTTTTAATTCGCTTCCTTTCGCCCGTAATTAAACATTCGACAATGACTGCGTAAAGTAAACAGCGAAACCGCCGCGCCATTGTTCGCCGGAATCGCCGATTCGATGGATACCTAATAGAAATCGGCGGGCAGGTCGATACATTCGCTGGAATGCGATAATTAACCCGAAATTAGCGCCGGCCATAAATCAGCGCTGTGTATACAAGTCGACCGGTTACCGGAAAGGGTCCGTTCGCCCGGAATCCTCCGGACCCTTTCGCAGTCCATTCGATTCGATTCCATTCGATTTCGATCGATTCGTCTTTTGGAAGCCGCTCCCTTGCAGGTATATCCGTTATTCATCATAAGTTAATCCCTTTGGGCGCGTTTTGGGTATTTATTCGGGCGATTGGGTGCTAATTGTCGCGTCGTAAAGTGCCGTCGCCGGCAGGAAATTAGATAGCGCAGGATCGCGGAGTTTCGACCGAAATTTCGTCTCTAATCAGCGACGGGGGGATAAATCTTTTCTTCCTGATTGACCGGAAGTCAATTTCCGACCGTTAGAGATCCGGGGAGTCCCTGCAGAGCGTCCCTTAGCCCGGATACGCGTTAGGTAAATGGGCATCGAAACGGGAAATTAGGGGGGTGAAATGAAAGTCTAGGAATAGGAGTAGCGATTCGCTTGATTAGAACGTGCTTATAGAAGGAGCTGGGGATGGAAATTTGGGCGTAAAATTAGTGATATGTGTGAGAGGTAAGAGGATAAAATTCGGGAGATTAATTCGGGAAACTACTTAAGAAAGTTGAGGTGGGTTTTTTATATGCTCGTAAAGGGGTAATAATTGGAATAATTTTTTAATTTCAATTTAATTGAAGTTTCATATACGATTTTTTAGAATATCACTAAATTTGATGATATTTCAGAATATTTTAGTCAATTTTTTAAGTTATTTTTACGAAATGTATACATATCAATATCACAATTTTTTGGAATATTTTCGATTTTGCAAATAATTTTACATTCAATTTTATAGGATTTTACGAGATTTTAAGTGAATTTTGCAATTTTTTAGAATATTTCACTAAATCAGTCAATTTTTTTAATTGGGTTTACCTGATTTTACAGTTTATTCATTTTACTGAATTTAACAATTTTTTGGAATATTTCTCTAAATTTTTCACATACGATTTTACAAGATTGTGAATTTGACTATTCTTTAGAATATTCTACTAAATTTGAAAATATCTTGTAACATTTAGTCTATTGAATTGTTCCTTTAACATGTAAATTTGTCATTTTTGAGACGCCATCTTCAAAATTACTTTAAATATAACATCAAGTTATTACTTTTAAAGACAACACTTAAACAAGTTCGAAACAACATATATTTTGCATTGCATAATGTGCAAGTTCTAAGTTTAGCACATGCTGCTGGAACATACTTAACATCTATAAACCTTACCTTCATAGCATTGTCGTTATGCATCACAAAGCTTCATCATGAGTCGCAGTTGTCGCAAAGTGAGACAACTAAAATCCTGCAACAAACAAATACATCTTGAGCTGTAAAACTTGCTTAGGTGTCGAAAATCAATTACGTACATCAAACTCATTTCGCTTGCATTATTAACAACCCGGCGCAGCAGAGAGGAATCAATTAAACCATCGACTTCCCCTCGCGTGCATTATAAACAATGGCATTGTTCGAATGCAATTCCGAATTAGAAGACAATTATCACATTTGCGCACGCCTTGCTATCTGCCCGATGGAGTTTCGAAACTCTTCCGAAGTTCGAAGTTCGCCGCCGTGACGGAAACCGATATCGAAGTTCAGACGTTTTCGCCCTCACAGGCAACTCCTCGGATGCGAAGTTTATATGTCTACCTCGATTTTCGGAAAAGTAATCTAAACAGTGGAGTTGTTGTACGTATTCGGGCTGTTTCGCCTGATGCCGGTCTACCAGCAAATGCACGTGTGAGCACACAGATGGCCCGGTGTTATTGGAAATTGAAGCTTTTCGGATGGAATTAAAAAATAAAAATTGGTACAAAACAATATTTATTAAAAAGTAGCAAGTAGAAGAATTTAACATTTTTAATATTTGTGGTGAATTTTGGGCGTTTTATTAACGTAATTAATCAGCGCTTTACAATACAGATATTTTTAAAATGTTTAATATCTCTTAAATTAATTATTATTTTATATAAAACTATTAGGTTTAGATGTGGGGAAGTAGGTACCTATACCTATACATGAGCTTTCCCTATTTTTTACCGCAGATTTAACAAGACAGAAAAGGCGTGATTCCGTTCAAAAAAGTGATGAAATATTCACAATATTCACTCTCAGTTCTCTGCTCTCTGCTCTCTGCTCTCTGCTCTCTGCTCTCTGCTCTCAACTCTCTGGTCTTTTAATCGGGTAACTTTTCGCGGCCTCGACAAACAGGGTTACTCAGCACATGCATTGTAGAAACTGCATTAATTTCGAACCGACATAAACTAGATCAATTCTAATTAAAACAGTAATTTAGTGTGCCAGAAGAAACAATAAAAAGAACTCCGAACGAAGTTGTCACATACAGCACGGAGCTGGCATAACGTCTTAGGAAGAGCGTAACAATGTGGCTTTTCCAGCGAGCCTTTTGTCGTTCGACAACAAAACCCGACTGCTCAATCCGGGATTCGCGTCGAATTCCATTTGCGCCCGTTCGGGGGAAATTTTCTACGGGGGAAAATAGTGCGGATTATGATTGTCGAAAGTTCGGCGAGGCTCACGCCGGGTTTATTATAATTAAGGGGGATGCGAGGTCGAAGGGCAATTATTAATACACACGTTCCGGTACATCCGGATTTAATTAAAATTAATTCGGGGAAAATTGGAATGTAATCGATTTAGTGGATTTCGGTTTAATGAAGGGTAAAATAAGAACGGGGTTACGTTTCGATGCAAAACGCGGCTCGGAGAGTTTTTTAACTAGCTCTCGGGGTAAAAAATTTTCATCGCAATTATTCAATATCTCGTAGATAAAAAACGCGAAAAGCTATTTTTCGTGAAACACTCCATTGTTGGAGCGGCGCACAAAGGCAGTTATTCAAACGATTCGCATTGTATAACAATGCAAACACATTTCCTCCCTTTATCGCCGTAACTAATATGAAAAGATAGTGTTGATTTATTCCTGAAATTTTTATTAAATTCCGCTTTCGTCAATAATCCGGAGTTTTTGAGGAAAACCCGTTTTCCATCGAACGATATATCATAACGTCAATTCCCCAGGGCGTATTTAAATTTTCATTACCCACTTTATCAACACTCACAATACACCAGGTATAGCTAGAGACGCAATACTAATATGCGGAGTAATTCGTAGGTACTAATTATGTATTTTTTTATTGATTTTTTTCCTAACTTACAATACGATTATTACAGTTGTAGGAAAGAAAGAACAACAGATCACGTCTGCAACTATTTATATTGTACTGTACACAAAAAATACTCTAATCATAAAAAACTACAGTTTAATACAACTTTCCGCCGGCCTGTTATCTTGCAGTTTTCTAATTTACATTGCTCATAACTCAGCAGCATGTTGCAAAAGGGACTGACCCAATTATATCCCTCTGTTCCCAGATAAGCAACAAGTGCACAAAAAGAAACAACGCTGATTTTCGAAATAATAAACTTTTACGACAACGCGGAGATATCCCCCCGGTTTCGGGCGAAACGCGCGTATAAAACGGGCGAAGTAAAATTACGAAACCCTCGGGTCGACTTTTTAGCATCGGAATTTTTCGACGGGAAAACGCAAAATCCACCTTGGCGAGTTAATCAGCGCTCTGTGTGCTCGTGTCGCACTCGGCGAAAAAGTTTTCTTTTAATACCCCGCTGGAAATAATTCATACCGAAAGCGTAATTTCGAAATAAAATTTTATAGCGGAATAAGCCACTGAAAATTTCGAAGTTGAGTTGACAATCCCGTTAACCTGGCGTTGACGTGTTTATTATTTTATTCGTATAATATTTTTACGCCCGTATTCAGAAGTTCAGTATAATGAAATGGTTTTGTGACCAACCGATTATATATTACCGATGGTTATATTTTAATCGATATTCAGAAGTCGATACAACCCATTGGTTACAAAACAGGTTTGTAAATATGGCAATGTTGCTTAATTGAATCGTTTGAACCGGTAGAACTGTTAAATATAGGGTAAACAAGATGAAAACGAGGGTGGTTTTTTGTCTTTCTTCGTTTTTTTTTCAAATAAGACCTTAGCTATTAGGCTATTCGGCTATTAACTTGGTTTAGTAAGCGACTCTAAAATTTTACGTATTAATAAATTTCTAATGTTTTTATTACTATAAAGATAAAGTACCTGTAAAAATAAAATCGGTCATTACGACTGATTAAATTGTGCTTTTTTGACTTTTAACGGCTGATACTTTTGAATACCATTTTGCTTATTACCGTCGGTTATACAATAATAAACCAAATGGTTACTATTATCGACTGTTATAAAAATATTTGATATAACCAACCGGTAATATTTTTATCGACACTTCTGAATACGGTGATTATAATGTTTGATTTAGTGACGTCAACGCCAGATTACTGTGAGCGTACTGTACGCTACTATACGCTTTAATTAATAAGTTTTCCGAGTTAAATCTCGCAAATTGTTTCTTCTTATATCTCGAAACTCACTCGAAGTTTGGGACAACTTCCGAAAAGTTCGCGAACTCCGAAAAATCCTCTTACGTGCATTTTTCCCCGCATAGGCCTCGAAACGGAGAAACTAAATTTTTATAGTCCAATCCCCGGCATTTACTACCCTCTAATGGTTCCGAGAGAAAACTAGATTGACCTAATTTATTTAGTCCGTCTAAATTCCAATTACTCGGCAAACAAATTCGCTTCTCCTGAGACGCGCTGTTTATTCTTCGTCCATTACCGAAGTCTTCTTTTTTTTAATCGTTTTCCCCGCTCATTAGAAGCTAGGGAAAATCCAATTCTACAGCGCACAAAGTCGATTAAACCGGAATTAAAACCGGCTTCAATAACACCTGCAGTACGCCCTAATCACACATGTATTGTTCATTCATTATTTCACCCCGTGTTATCATCATCCTAGGATTAACCCGAATACGAGATACAGTGTGAGTCAACAAAGAAACCCCGAGTATGAAGTAAATGAAAGTAAAATGAAGTAAAGATATATAGTGAAAATAATGAAGAAATTTAAAAGAAAATGTATTGCAATTTTATTTTTATTTATCGTCCATTATAAAAATATCTATGTTCTTTGCATTTTTTCTTGTTTAATGATTTCATTTTAACTAATTGTAAATTGTTACAGTTTTCTAATAATTTCGAATTTCATTTGATCGAAGCACTTTCGTTGACTCACTCTGTGTAATAATCTACAGCTTCCTTATTCCAATTGGGTAATAAACTAATTTATAACAAACACACTTAAAAATGGTTCAAATTGACTGAACTCGAGTGCAGTTGATCTCTCCTCTTAAATCCAAAGAATAAAAAGCGATCCATACACTACGACTATTTTTACCTCGTCCGCAAGTCCGAATCACGACGTATCCACCTCTGCATAACAAACGGCCGTTTGATGAGTGATTACTCATTCAGAGCGGGACTCCGGGCGGAACGATTCCGCATTGTCCGGTTCCGGGGGTCGGCGTCGCCGCCTCCCGAGCACCCGGAGCCGGGGCGGCGTCGTTTGTTGTGTGCGAATTCCGGTGCCGGGGTTGCACACGGCCGCGTGTGCCCCTCGATCGGCCCGACGAGATCAAACTTTCCCTTCGAATTGCGGCCGAATTACTTAAGAACTCCGCGGAGGAGCCGCTCGGGCGGAAGTCCGGGTTCCGGGCTCTCGCTCTCCGCATTTGTTCGCTTTAGTTCGACGTCGGCTGATTAATAATTAAATGCAAGTAATTTGTACGCGACCTGGGCAACCTTCGTTTAGTAGGTTATAGAGGAAGTGCGCCATATATGGACCACCATAAGCACTTTTCTCAATAAAAAGTCGAATTTTAAATTTTAATCAGCTTAATTTATATTAAACAATTCCTTAACCATTTAGTTAAGAAAAACTCATAATAAAACAAAATCTTTGAAATAAATAACATTTTCTAAAGTATATCATTTTTATGAACTTTCAGAAAGTAAACATAATATGAACCACATGCAGATTTTTCCATTTCTAGAATATATTGATTAATTCATCTTCTAATTCACTCGGATTGTCTCCCAAGTTTTTGGGTGGTGATATCATTAAGTGATTAGTTTTGGGTGTATGTTTTGGAAGCATTCAAAAAGCCCATTTTCTTTTCTCGTGCATTTTTAATTGCCTCTGCCATTGTGTTTTTTTATCCCATGCTTGTCTGGTCTTCTCTATTGCTTTAGAATCCATTCTAGAACATAAAAATTAATTTTTAGCCACCCCGGCCCTATTTAAAACGTGTCACTGGTCCATATTGTGATACTATACTTTCTCATTTTGAGATTATTATTTTTTT